CAGGCTGCGGGATGGAGGCGCGTCCGAATCAAGGGCTCCGCACCCCGGAGCTGCAGGGCCCCCCGCTTTTTCTCGAGAATCTCTCCCCCCCCCTTCTCTTTTAAAACTTATTTATTCTTGCAGATCCATTTCGAAGTCAGGTCCTCAAGAAAGATCAGAGGGGGGTCGGCAAAAAACGTCCAGGATCGGGGCCTTCCGGGGATGTTCATCTGAAGAGGCAACCTACCCTGGGGCTAAATATCCCCCCCCCACCAGCTCCAGCGCTGACCCTTACGAGATCAATAGCAGCAGCAGCAACAACAACAAAACAGTGCCTTTGAGCATGTGCAGAGAAACTGCCTTTTAGCAGCATCACACAACCAGCAGCCCCCCTTAGGGACGTCTCCACGCAGAGAATGGGGTCAGGACACGGCTCTGTGTAAGAGCAGTTGGCTGCCTTGAAGGGGGAGGGCGGGGTGTCACCATTGGTAGTCCCCGCCGGGGCAGGCAGAAATTCGTGCCAGGAAAAGGTTGTGCTGGCTGGACTTCTGTATCATATGCAGCTGGAGACCAACAAACAAACACCTGGCAGGGCCAAAGGAACCACCCACCACCCCTGACCGAAGTCTCACTGAAGCCCATTGTTGACCCCAGTCAGGCCAGCTCTCGAGTCCTGCGCCGGGTGACCATTCCCACCAGCGCGGTGGAGCCGAGAGTCCCACCGCAGGCAGAGCTCGATCGCCGGCCTGTTTTCCTTACCTGCGTCCTCCTCCTTCCCGGCTGCGACTCAGAAGGAAGGTCTTCCTCCTCCTCCTCCCTGCGCCATCCTAAAACGGAGTAAGCCCTCCTGTAAACCCGTCGGCTCCAGCGGATCTAGAAGGGTGTCACGTTGCTTAAGGCTGGCTCCGTAAACCGCTTGCCTACCCTTCCCCGAACCCCTTCCCGCCTGGGCGAGGCGGTGTGTGAAGAGCCCTTTCCGCCCAGCTGCCCCTCGACTGGATCGGGCGTTTTCGAACCAGCGATTGAGCGCAACCGTCCAAACGTCTGGAGCCCAGGGCGCAGCTGTGGAGCAGGGGAGGGTTTGCAACACCGGCTGGAGTGGTGGGGAAGTCCTAAAAAGTTGCACAAGCACTCAGATTACTAACCTACCTCCGATTTGGCCTTTTGCACGGGAGGAAGGAGGAGGAAGGGAAAGTCACCTGCCCAGGATGGATCCCAGCTCAGCCCTAGCTCGGAAAAGCACGGTACAAAACCGCATCCTCGAACGAGGACCTCCTCCTCCTCCCCTGCAGCGAATAGATCCGGTCACTGACACATTCCGCGCCACCACGACAGAGTCCTGCCTTCTCTAAAGTCACGAGAAAGCCATTTCCAAGGGATTCGATGGGGGGAGGTCTTACTCCTATGTAAAGGCGCCTAGAATGGCAGCCCAGTCCTTGCAAGCACCGGGACTGCAATTGTCACTAGTATTTGTATCGGATTTATGACACACACACCCCCAAACCTCATTTCAAGGCTGGGAACCCACGGAATTGCCCAGGAAACTGTTTTCTGCTCCGTCTCGGAACCGGGTGAGGCTAGAGCCCCCCCCCGCCCGTCTATTTGTCCCAAGTGTCTCCCCGCCGTCTTGAATATCCGCAGCCCGCCCCCAGGTCTCCAAAGAAGGCCGGGCCGCCTGCAGAAATCAAGACTGCAAATCCTAAACGGGGGTAATCCACTAAAGCACGTGTGCCGCCCCCCCTCCCCCCGCGTCGCGTCCTTCAGCCGCAGTGGGAACAACCGTGCTTCTCTTCGGGCTTTC